TCGCTCGCATCCTCAAACCTCTTTTCGACGAATCCGAACGACGTTGCGGTTCGACCGTTGTCCACCTACCGATCTTGCCGCCGCTATTATATCGGAAAGTGGCGGAATCCAAGATCGATGTCCAACGTCGGCCAAATGTTCCCTAGAACCTGTCATTTCGCGTCACGAGCATAACCGCCGACGTAATAGTCGCCGATCAAAGATGGCCGACACAATGGCCGCGAATTCCCGCGGGCACGGTCTGTTCTTTTCGAACGCCGACCTAAACGGTCGTCGTTCTTCCCGCTAAACGTTGACACGCGATTCCTCGCCGATGCAACGCCGGTACGGCGCGTCAGTCACACGGCGCATTAAATACCATTTGCCTGCCCCCGATTCCAGTCCATCCTTTGTCCTCTACTTTTTGTCCGGATAAATATACCCTTTGAACTCGGTCAATTTCGTAAACCGGTTCGTACCCCTGTTCTCCTTTCAGCGCGTGACTTTCGAACGATTCTCGTCACTTACGAAACCGCTAACTAGTATCATCTACTTCGGCACGATAAATCGCCGCCCTTTCCAACCGACTCTTCCGTCTATTCTCTCTATCTATTCTCTCCTCATTCGGCCAGACTTTTTCATGGTTTCGCGACCAACCGTACATTTCCGTCCAGCTACTCGCACGTTCGTCTCGTACAAACGCGGGAATATAAACGCGCACGGCGAAGCGGTGGTACGGGGCGTCAGTCAGTTAGTCAGTCAGTCAGTCAGTCAACGAGCGAGTCGTTTTCGTTAGACAGGGTGCATGCGTAATAAGGTAGTCGCGCTCTATCTCTCCCTTTTTTCCAGTCCCTTCCTGCTTCGCCTCGTCTTCGGAATCCCTCCTACGATCCCTCGATACCACCCTACCTCGAGCGGTATACGAAGGAAGGCGGTGTGGCCGATTTGGCCGCTCCTTTCTCTACCGCCTCGACGAAATCCTCGCGCAAATACGCTGCCAGCCGCTCGCAACTGTTCGGGCTTATACGTGGGTAAACAACCGTTCCGTCCTCCGATGCAAATTAGATTGGAATTCGATACGACACGATCCACGTTACAGGGGAAGAACTCGAGCACGCGCGCCGCTTTCGTTTCACCACAGTTTCCAACGAGAAAACTAATTTCTCGCGACTGATCGTGTTGGTCGAAGCGGCTGTGACGGAAATTTTCCGCTCGCGGTCGAGTCGAATCGCGTCGACGAAACACGGCCTCTTCCTCGTTTCGTTGTACGACGACGCTTCGCCCGATGTCTGTCTATCGAACGAATTACCTTTCCTCTCGTCGTTACGCAGCTTTGTTCGCTGACAATGCCGAACCGCACCGGGGATGCTCGTGCAAACAGAAAAAGGTAAACGGTAAACTGTCAAGGGACGTGACGAGTAGTCGGAAACGCGATTGAAAAGATGCACGGCAACGCGTTTTAAAAGATCGACCGGTCGAAAGCCACGCCACACCGATCCAACCAATTTCCTCTCGTATCGCGTTTTAGTTTGCCGTTTCCACCACCGATTCGTCGTTCGTCCTGTTCCTTTGAAAGAAATACCTTCCGAGAATTAGCGGTGGTCTTTACTGCCTCTACGCGGCAATGAATTCGCGAGGAATAAAGGTCGAGAGACGTAAAAGGAAAGGTAGTAACCGTTTCGACACTTTTACTGCACAGAGTTTTCCTGATGACGGGAAACATTACGTACACGTGCACGCGGCTGGATGCACGCCACTTCCCAATGTTGCTTCGAATAGCGAAATTAAGTCCACCGTTACGGTGGAGCTAGGAGTCGCCCCGCGGGCCACTTCGTACGATCGATTAGCGCGCGTCGAATCGCAAAACAGAGATTTCCCGTCTCGGATAATCGAAAGAGCCGCTCTTCTTTCGTTCTCGTCCGTACTTGGTCGTCGGACGTTCTTTCGTTTTTCCAGTTCGCTCTACGAACGATGCAACGCGCCGTTGGTTCGTAGATCAAACGTGGTACGTAACGAATCCGCGTACGCGTTACGCGTTATCGCGGTCACTCGCATTTCGTGTGATCTCGATTATGATTGTTTACGATCGCTACTAAACCATCGATACGCAACGTGATCGCGAATGCCCAGCGCGTTCGATTTATTACGGTCGCCTTGCACGCTAAATACGACATTTTTACGTATTTCAACGTTTCCTCCCGTCAATCGAATTTTATCATCGTGCGAGTTTTTCGTTCCCCCCGAGCCATCAATTTCCAGCTACGTGATACATCCCTTCGACGATTCGAGAGCGTGCTGCCATCTAGAAACGTGTCGTCAAAGCGAGACGTTCGTTCGAGAGGGATGATAAAAGGCGATCTGTTACCCTTCTAAAGCGAACGTAATCGAGCGAATAGCCATAATCTTAGGTGTATACGGGCATGAAATAAAATGGTGGTCGCGCGACGACCAACGAAACCGAGCTAGAAAATCGGCAAACTATGGAAACGCAGAGGCGAAGAGAAGCTTCGGGAGGGTCTGGAACCGCCGGTTCTGCTATCCGACGATATTTCACGATATCTTCTGAGATTCTCGCAGGCCTGAGAGAAGACCCCCTATGGCCTGTTGGCTACACGAAAACATATACGTCACTGACGCGCATGGTTCGCGGCGATTCTGATGGATCCTGGGATTCGATGGGAACAAAAGAATGTTGGTTTAGCATGGAAGGCGTGTTTGTTATTCTGATGAGGTATAATGGGATGGATCTTGGGTGTTGATGCATGGCGCGTAGCAGGGTGCCAAGTCCAGAATCCCGTGGATCCAAATGGAGATCGGTACGGGCCCCGTAGGCTCCTTCGAGACCCCTGTAGACAGGGGCCGCAACACGTCCATCACGTGTCACGGTTATGTATTTAGACATATCTCACTACTATCTTCCATATCGTTCTTCCTCTCTTCTTCTCTTCCTCTCCCTTTCTCTCTTCCTCCCTCTTCGCTTCGCTCGTCTCCCGCCGGCTTCCTCGCCACCCTCCGCCACCCTCTTCGCTCTCTTCCACTCCAACGTTTTCGTTTATCATTTTTCTTCCCCCCTTCTACGATCCTCGTATTCGTCTTCACTTGCTACCAGCTTATCGTTTCGTTCCTCTTCCTCTTTAGTCTCTTTTAATCGAAACGGGGACCCGTTATAAAAATACTACCTCGTCTCCGCGCGATTGCTATTCGCGAGTCGTGGGTACGTGGGCTGGAGAAATCACGCACGCGGTATGTATATCCACGCGTACTCCTCGCGTCCTTAGATAATAGTAAATTAATGTCTGTCATCGAACCCCACCCTGCTTTCCCATTTCGATCGATCCACGTACCGTCCAACGAACTTGGTCGATTGGTTTTACCGCCGAGTCGGCTGGCAGCCAGTTTCTTTCGCAGGCAAGTGATCGAAGCTGGACTCCGTCCCGGGCGAGTTGGCTCGCTATCGGGTCCATTCATCGTCTATAATATTTCAACGTTAATTTCCTAGATGGTGATGCATGACTCGCGTCAGTGTCATGCGCGCGCTCGTGAACACTCGTCATCATCGCGATCGTTTCTCTTCCCCGTCCCGTTTCTTCTCCTTTTCTTCTCCTTCCTCCTCTTCCATATCTCCGTCTGTTATTCCGAATAATCACGCACACGACACAGTGACTCTCTCGATCGCCGCTCGTTAATATCGCCTGCCGCGTGTAGTCGGTAGTCCCGGCTATCCACGCTGCTCAGGTAGTTCTCTGTCGATTGAATTTTTTATTGGCCTAACGTAGAAGCCTGTTCCGAACCGGTATGCCATTCGTCCTGCCGCTTCTTCTCCTTTCTGACGTTTACTCTAAACGTTCTCGATGCAGACGCCGCGGTAGGAAAAGGATCGTGCATAGTATCTGAACGAAAATGTTCGACTTGCGCCACCTCCGCATACGGCATATGCGAGGCAAGCGACTCTCAAACTTTTATTTCGTACAAAACATTACGAACACTTGTTAAAGAGACGAAGCTCGCTGCAAGACTCGTGAATACAGACTACTTACGCCGTCGATTTCGGTTCGTCGGCTCGTTACTCGCCGTTTGTAACAGCTTTCATCGATTTTACCATAAAATTGACGAAACCGTCAACGTCCTCGAGCTCTTTCGAGTAAAATTTCGCAGCGATCGTGGCGCGGCCTTCGAATTTCGGTACCATAGAGAACGAACATTCCGCGTACGCGTCCACCTCTACCTGGTCCGACAGTTTCAATTTCAGCTGCTCGTCCATTCCAGGTCCCTCGATCAAGAATCTGCACTTCTTCAGTGGGATGGGCAGCGGATTTTGAAATTTCGCTGTCGCGTTTAGCGTCTTGCCAACTTCCGGCTCGTTCTCCAACTACGCAAACGATTTTAATTTACTTCGTCGTCGATTACGCGATAAACGTAGATAGGATAGAACGTAGAGAGCACCTACGTACCGTGATTTTAATGTCGGGTTTCCTCACGCGAAAGTCGTCTTGCGCAAAGTACTCGAAATTGGTGTCCTTGATGGTGGCCAGGCAGGAAATATTGAATGCGCACTGATTCAATAGTCGAGGTCCGTATTCCTCCCAGGATACATCCATACGCACTTCCTCGAGGACTCCAGGTCTCACCAGTCGATCGATATTTAATCTCTTCACTGGGTCGCCGACCCGTCCGGTGTACAGAACCGTCTCCACTCTTAAAATCACCGAGACCTCATACTCGTTGTAATTGCTTCTATTTTTAATCAGCAACACGACACTGTAACAGGACGCATCTCGTGAGTATATGAGCTAAACGGAGAGTAAACGGAGCTAAGGAACAAACGAGGAAATACCTGAAAGGTTGTCCGATCACGATATCGTCGCGTAACTCGAAGTTAAACATGACGTCGTTGAACTCCTCGTTCAGGTAATAACGACTAAACAACGACTGACTTTGACGCAACGCCTTCAACATGGCAGCCCGTTCTTCTTCCGACTCTGTGAAACGAAAACAAGGAACCGCGCGTTAAGACTTTAGCAAGAATCGAGGACTCGCTGGTCGCTCGCTCTTCGAAGGATCTCTTACTTTCTGGATACTTGTAGGTATGAGTGATATCTTCCCTCGCCCATCTACCGATCGCTTTCGTGCTAATAAATTGCCCGATGCTAGGTATCGAAAAAAAAAAGAAGGTAAAACAAATGGACGTTATTCTCTTTGCTGGAATCGAAACGACGAATCGATCGATCTTAAAGGAAGACCGTAACGCGTGAAATACTCACCCGTACACGTCCTTTCGAATCAACTTTAAAGGTTGAGTCGGTCCGTTGTAACGCCAAAACACTTTATCCGCGTTGACCTCGGCGAAGAGGAAGGCATTGTCATAAGGTCGGAGAACCTCGCCTTTCTTCACAGCGGCGACGGAAGCCGGTCCGCAACGGTACGCGTCCTCGCTCAATTCTTGAGGAGTCGCATCGATCGCTTGCCAACCAGAATATTCCGGCGACAAGTCCAATCGAGTCATCCATACCTCGTTCCACACGTGGAAATTCCTACGAAATGACCGGATCGCAGTGAAAAACGATGGAACCGCGTGCGCGTATACGATCGATACGCGCTGCAACTACCCGAGTATACTTAGACGTAATACTTGCCATATCGAATCGCTGTTCATCTCCTCCATAACTTTCCCCTCGGCGTCGACGAAATAGTCGACGGTCAAGCTGCTCTGAGTGTCGTGCGCGCTCGCATAATTGGTTACCACGCGACAAGGTAGTCCCAGGGTACGGCAAACGGTGGCCAACACTCCCGAGAATACCCAGCATTGACCATACTTGACCGGTTTCTTCGTCTTATAGTATTGTTGCAGGATCTTTTGCGAACCCAACCATTTGGTCGGTGGTGTACCACCTCCAAAATCGTCGGACCAGTTACCCATTACCGCGCCATTGTCGTCCGGCGAATTTACCTGTAACGCGGCAACTTTCCTTGAGTTTCGCGATCGACAGCAAAAAGACGTGTCGGACAAAGAAGTCGATTCGAGTACTCACAGCTGCCGACAGAATGCGAGATATAACGACAGGATCGTTTCTGCCGTGTATTCGAACTTTCCCAACTTGAATCATCAGATGCAGCGCGCAATCTAATATGTCCCGCTCGAACTGCGAATATTTCCAAACCGTTGGTCTCAGACGATTGTAGCTTCCACGCCATATCAAACCATCCTCCGCCATCACGTACTCCTGTCGCTGATCTTCCTCCTCCATGTACACCGCGTCCTCTGGAAAATCGTCAAAAGATCATTGTCCCGCGTATTCGGATTGGTTGGCCTCTTTCATCGAAATCGAAATTCCCTACCTCTGCACCAGGGATTGAAAATTAGATAAAACGGTTGTTTCACCGTGTAACTAACGGCTCCGTCTAAATTCTTGTTCTTGGTGTCGATGTCTATCCTCCACTTGCCTATTATCGCGTCGGGAGCTGCAACGATCTGAGAAAGTGACAAAAGAAGAATCGCTCGTGTTAGGACCGCGCCGATGGAAAACGAACGAAAGACGATACGCCTTTGATCGCTTACCTTCAATCGAATAAAATTGTGTTGAATAGCGTCGATGGTGGCATGCCAGGGACCCTCGGACGGTTCTCCCGGATAAAGAACAGCCGTCGCAACGAGGGTTCCGTGCCCGTATAGCGGCCTCTCGACTCCGTCAACCGTGAAAATTATCGACATACCATCGATACTTGGCTCGTAATCTCTGGACAAAGTCAAGTGTAAGTAAAATTCTTGCCCCCGTCTAACGACCAGCCTAGATTTGTCGTCCTGTCTAGTCATCAAGTCGTATCTGGATGTTCTGTGATTGACTCCATTCTCCGCGATACACGGATCCACGTCTGCGATCGTCAACACTGGAACTCCAAAATCTTCCCCTGCGAGCAGAATACGAACACGATTTTTTTACCATTTTAACTTCGTTTACGACGCGACGCGACGATTCCCACGTACGAAACACGCTTTACATAACGATATTTCTGATTCTGCCGACATCCTGAAACGCTTGAGTAAATTCGCGCGTATGGCGAATTGCCAACGACGATAAGGATACGATCCAATGGAATAATTAAAATTAATTGCCCGGTCTTTTACTATTTGCGAGATATTGAAAGGAGGAACACCGCGCGTCGAAAGGTTCAAGATAGAAACTAGATCGCGAGGATGCGAACACTCACAGTAAAATCTGAATGGAAAGGGATTGGAACGGCGATCATTGAAAGACCGGTAACGATCGTAAAATCTATAAAACATCCTTCGAGGACTCGGGAATGCAAACTCGTCCCTCGAAAACGAACGAAAGACTGAATCCATCGGCGGATATCGCGCCGCGGTCCTTCGACCGCTCACAGTTCTATGAAATCACTGAGAGTGAGCGATCGCTCCCCGTTCTGGAAATAAGGAAGAAATTGCAATGCTGTATACTGTACATGACTGCACGGTACGGAACGGCGAGACGAGGTGCTCCGCTTTACGCGCCGCGCCGCCCTACACGTTGGGTGGGTTGCTATATTCTAGGAGATACGTCAAGGACTTTTCTGCATCGACGAACGCAACCATACATGGCGTCATCGATGAGTCTAGGTACCAATCGGAGTCACCTACTCTTCATCCTATCGATTATTTCTCACAATTTACTCTGGTAATTACGAAACGAATTGTATATCAGATAATCTGTCGCGCCGTATTCCAAGAAAACGGATATCGAAGATCGCCAACAACATCTTTATATGGTCGAACGTGATCAAGATGTACGTGGAAAGCGGCTGATCCATACGATCGAGTAGATTGACAAGGCCGGTGAAAAACTACGGATCGTCGAAAGAGTCATTACGCCGGTGTTGACACGTTTACCAGTTTTGGCGGCAATAATTGTCTCGTTTCCATGTATCGTACAATTACGAGAATCGGTCGGTACGTTCAATTAGTATCGACGTCTCGCGTGTTTTCGTCTTAAATCGGTTTGCAAAAGCCGCGACTATTTGAAATTCAAGCCTTGACAAAGAAACTCGTCGACGCAATTAATTGCCATATTGCGAAAAGAAGTGGAAACGCGACTTGCTCGCACTGGCCGTCACCTATTTTCGTTGTTAGCGATTCGTTTGTCCTCGCACAATCGCGATTCCAAGCGAAAACGTTCCATAGAGTAAATAGACAAATATCGATCTTTACGACCGATTTTCTTTCACGCGGCTAACTTTTAAGAAGCTTCACGCGGAGAGTTTTGCGAGATAGAAAAGAGGGATATGTACGAAAACAACGTATCCATCGACAAATACGTATCACAGATACATCGAAAAGCTAAATAAGCACGTGTTAAAGTAATACGCGGAAACATCTTTTCCAAATCCTTTCACCTCTTTTCATTTCTCTATCCTTTCTTCTTTTTCATCTTTCGATTTTTTATAAATTTTACTTTATTCGTTCTCTTGCAAATTTTTGGTACAGCCAAGCATCGCATTAATTCAACTCTGTTTTCTCTACACGTTGTTCGTTCCTTCGCACTTTTAAGTTTTTTCATTTCCGTCATGTACATTACTCTTCCTTATTGTTCGTTTATTTAATTTTCTTCGATCCTCTACGCTCTGTTTCTCTCCTTTCGCCAATTCTTCGCCCCTTTCTTATTATTTTTTTTATTTTTTTCATCCTTTCACAGATTCTTGCTTGTTCGCTTGCAATTTCTATCGCTGCGACGCGCGTGTATTTGTGTGTGTGTGTGTTTGTGTCTGTACACAAGTCGGAGAATCGTAAGCTGCCTATACGTAATAACGGAGAATCGTTAGGAAAACACAGATGCAAGAACAAATTTATTTATCTACTGAAGTTTAATCTTCAAGATTACGTAGCTACTTACGATCGGTTAGTTTGGTAGTGAAAATTCCTCGGTTCAGTTACCTTTCTATTAACACCGTCGTACTTAATGTTATACCGGATCAATTAGAAATAAATATTGATCTATCGCATAATATATAATAACCCGACAGCCGGACAGCCGATCGCGTAAGAAATATCGTGTTAAACGATCAAATTACTCAAAGTATCTGTATATAGTGCAGCCGTCATACGATTACTTCAACCGGTTTCATACGAAATCGATGCTATTTTGGTGAGTTGGTAAGCGGCAAGAAATTATGGCATCTACATACCTAATGGTATTGTTTTCGATTAAAAATAACGCCACGAGGCAATCTGCTATGCACATGTATATATATATATATATATATAGTTAAGTAGACACAGATAAGTGTTCTAGAATGCAGATTATCCATAGCAACCGATGATGACGCGCGATGTCATGTATTCGATGCAACGTAAGAATAGAATTTTCATTATCTAAACGATTTATCTCTTTTCCTTCGTACGATACTGAGAATTCAAGCTTACCACGATCGGGAATATTCATAATTTCCATAAAAATTGACTCAATTACTGGCAAACTATAATAAGTTTCAACGAAGATAGGACGAGCACATAGAACGCGTGGATTTGAGTTTCTATCGGTGCAAATATCGTAAAAAGTTATCAGCGCTAGAGGAAGCGAAGTTACACTTGTTAGAGAAGCGGCTGTAAATAATTAAGCAAAAGCCTGTGTGACGAGTTTTAGCACGTGCCGTAGTAGCTACGGCGATAAATAGCGGCTATGCATGTTCCTGGTGCAACAGGAACTTCCTCTCGTTTCATGCGAACAACGATATCCGCATAAGATTAACATTCTTCTTGGTATATACTGTACATGGTATTATTGCAGTTTCAAACGCGAGGCGACAGGAAGACGCATATTTTGAAGAAACGGGGAACATCCGAGGTATGCTTATCGTATAACGAATTGCTCTGTTCGTTCGTTAATACTATGCGTTAATACTGGCTTTTATTTACTGCACGACGACATCGCGCGCAATTTTAATCCGCAAGGTAATCGCGTAAAAATGATTGGCTACGAAATATTGCCAGAAGAAGAGATAACTCGTACGGTCGGTTTTAAAATCAATCGAAGTAACGTTGGCGCGAATGAATTCGCGTGAAAATATCGTATTCGCGTTACATGGCTCGCTATCTCACAATTAGAAATGCCAAGAAGATGAATCAGAAATAGTTGAGTCTGCTTTCGATCTCGGAAAAAGCTCGGGTAATAATACAACTGTGCGTAATTGAGGCTGACGTCATGCCTCACAGAGGTCAGGGTGCCACTTGCGTAATTTTACTTTCATTCATGGCAGTGGTCACACCTCGAGGCCGTTAAACACACGTTGTAATGTCACATTCGTTTCTACCTTTTATCGATTCACAAATATCCACGGTATCGAGAGGAGGGACGTTTTGTCCGTTTTACGTTGCACATTGGCGGATGAAAGAATTGCAATGGAAACGATAGCAGCTAAAGAGTCACGACGAAAGTCTGCACGCGTAACAAGACTAACGAGACGTACATCGTCGAATAATTCGATTTGGGCCGACTGGCCGCGAAAGAAGCGAAAAGTGAGATTTCCCATCTGGCTGGCAAGACGAGTTTATTTTCTTTGGTGAAGTACTATCGACCAAATTTTCAAGCGCCGAGAGGAATTCACGTTGTTCGCGCGATTTCTGTTTGCTTGCTAATTTCCAACCGAACATATCTGTTGACTAAACTTTTGAAAAATATTTCTTCCAAGATTCTCTCGTAAATCTTCGCCTTGATCTTGAAACCATACCGAGCCGGTAAAACAGAAGCAACGCCGAGTTGCGTCGTTACATCGAAAAAGTAGTAACAGGAAGTTTTCGAAATTACGCAGTTGCCTAAAAACATGTAGCGGCTAATGACATCACCGCCGTAACGAACTCAAAGCAAACGTTTCGGTATAGCTCGGATGATTATGATAAGCGATGATCGAAACTATCGAAAGCACATTTCGCACGTATCGAAGATCGAGGAGCACCCTCGATACACTGGCTGGCTAGCACGTGCTTTCTTAAAATAGGTCTTAAGAATATGTATACAAAAAGAAAAGCGTCGCTCGTGCCAAGGACTAGAAACTTTGGAAATCCTTCGAGGATTGTTTCGAGCTGCGCTCGTATCCGCCGTTATAACTACGTTAGATATAATAATAGAAGCACGATAAATCATCGGTTTCTGTCTAGATCGCGTTAACACGTTGCTATTTGTTCGAGCGTAGAATAAATCGATTCTCAGTAAATTGACTTACAAAATAGAACGAAATTCTACGAAGAACGATATTCTTCTAGAAACGTCATTTTTTTTCTCACACGCGCCAAATCACAGGATTCTGATGTCGTTTATCTAATATATAGGAAAACATCAATCCTATCTGTGAATTACACGCGACAAGGTCATCAATCATGCAAGAAGGTTATCGCAAATTAACTTCTGCAAGTATAAAGTAAAAGGTATATTGTCCACATATGTTTACAATGATTTACAAGTATTAAAATGTATTTGTCATCGCGTTGATCTACGGTTTGAGGCGATCGTTCCAATTGGAAATTATTTAACATGTAAACAGTGTTGCTCGGAACTTACCAGAACTAGATGCTGCAGGTGGCCGTGGAAGACATTCCGGTTTTGTGCATAATGGCTTAAGGGGACTGTCCGTAACAGTTTCGGGTGTAAAAATTGCTCTAAATCGTGAAAAACAAGAACAAACCTTGCCCATTTTTTTCAATCTTGTACGGCAATAAATACGATATATTTTATTTAATTATTGTCTTCTGTTTTTGTCTGCCTTTCAAATTCAAAAGTTCATAGTATTTCCCATACTTTTGATGACATTTCCATGTCATTCCACTACGACACGCGATTTCGCTTCGATCGTTCAACAGTAGTACACCTCACGTTGAATTATCTTTACGAAACATAATTACCGACAACAGGTCATCTGATGCAATCGAAGAGAAATTTGGATCTTGCGGTACCAATCACTTATTCAGAGGACTCTGTTTCAATTCAGCTATTGACTCACTACCACGAAAAGTCTTCCGTATAAAAACTAAGAAATTTAGAAGAATTTTAAATTATATCTTAATCATCGAGATACACGATTAAAAGGCACAGAGAGTATGTTAAAACTCTGTAATGAAATGTCAATTTATTAACATTGAAATAATTGTCAAATATCGGTATAAGTTTGAAAAAGATTCAGAATTAAACAAGGAGTTACTGTATGATATCACGTCACAATTTAAGCTCCAACGCGGACTGATATAGACGACGCGCTCTGTCGATCTGCTCGCGAGTAAATGAAGGACTGTCAGAGACTCAGTTGGCATCATAAATGATGCAGACGACATGATCTCTCCCCAGATTCCGATCAATTTTTAGATGATCATGAATGCTAACGATCCCTTCGCATCTTTACCTAACCATCGTAGATACTATTTACCTCTTTCTTTCATTTTCATTCATTCTAAATTACACTTACCCTTTCTGTTAGTAATAACATAAACATTATCTTAAAAGTATTGTAACTCATTTTTATTTATTTCGCTTGCACCTCGATTCTCGTTACAGGAAGATGAAGTCACATAAGTAAACTTTCGTTCCTCGAATTTCCTGAATGTTACATCTATTTAAAGACTATTACTTTTAAAGAGAAATATTGTTATTAGCATATTTTCTTCTTTATTTCATAAGAACTTGTTATAACATATGTAAAAATATTTATTTGCGACTATTATGCAGCCCACGATTTATAAATAAATATAAAACTTTTCTTTCAAGTATCACCATATTTATTTGACACAAATTTTACAGAAGTGTATTTAAAATAATCGATTGTAATCGTTTCTGTACATAATATACTAAATATTAATTAGAAAGATCTAACATATTAATTCCATTCAAGTTCTGCTTCAGTACTGGAGCTCCTCTTTTGTTCTCTATTGTCTTCTATTTTAATAATAGTTTGCAAAATATCATCCACAAGTACATATAAATATCTGTACATATAATTGCCAGATTCATCCTAATACATAAAAGTTACATTTTTAATTAATCTTAAACTGAATGTCTACAAAATATAAAAACATTATATCTTACTTCTTGCACTTCTAAATTCACAGTTGCGCGTTTCCTTATACCTTGAATATAAAATTTCATTCTCATATGACGTACTCCATCCTTTTCAAAGATAATATGACTGAAATATTATATGTAGTTAATAATAATATTAACTATAAAGAGAAACAGTAATAAATACAAATATAACTTTACCTTATGTGACTTCTACGTCCACGTCTGCTCTCTTCTCCATATGCTTTTATTGGTTCTCCTAGGGCATCTGTTACTTTAGGATGTTTGATGCAGCGATCTAATGCTTTACTATATACGCTGTTTGGACTTTTATTGGAAAATAATTCGTCAAAAATCATATAAAACATGAAGGCAGTAATTCCTATACCACCAATTATTACACCTAAGTATCCAATAGATTTTGTATTTTCTTTAACTGTAATAAAAACAATATATTCAGGATGGTATTGATTTTTATGCTTTATGTGTCCATATATACATAGGAAATTTACCTACATCCGCAAATCCAACTTGTATTTTATTTTCATGTTCAACATAATCTGTTTTAGCAATTGATTTTTTCGTACAATATAATGCATTTTGTCGAAAATTAGAATTAATACTAAAATTAGAAAGAATGTATACATTTTTTAGGCTAGAGACTGCTACAAGTCTTTTGTACGAAAAGCAATTGATTACTCGTGTTGATGCCATCTCCTAAAATGATGATAAATACTCCTTGTACAAACGGCATAAATGTAAACAATAACTACTGCAAAGTATTGAACTACACTGTCCATACAGACTAATTCTATACAAAATTCTATCCATAGTAATAATGCAAAGTAACTGATAAAAGTAGTTAAAAAGTATTTAAATAAAATATAAAAGTGATATTTATAGTCATCACAATGATCAAATAACATTTAACATACGTTGCATGCTGTAAAAATAATATTTCTGAAACTATTACTAACATTGTACCAATTATCCTAGTAGATTTTGAAACCGTCTTTTAATAATTTATCATCTATTTTCTTTACCTATTTTACATACCTATGGATTAATAAGAAATATTTCATTTGTAAAAAATTGAAATAATTATGAATAAATATCAATAATGGTATTTTAATGATAGGTTACTTTAAACAACACTTTTATAATCTGCTAGAAATGCTCATGTTTGGTTATTTCATCATCTATGTGAGAAATTGAGAAATGAAACAATGTTAGGTTATGAACTCGAAAAGACAAAACAACATAACCTATCTTACATATTAAAAGGAGTAAACAGTGCGGCTCTCTTTAAAGATCGTGTTTTAAGAGAAGCTATAAAATTCTGTTAATAGAAAAGTAGATAAAATTAAAAGTCCTAATGAAGACTGCTCCACATCAAAGACTAGTTATGGTTGGAGATCGTGACGGGTAAATATTCATTTATAAATATGATATGTCCAAAATTTTGTATTATATTCGTTAGTCTATTCACCGATTAAAATCTTGTAACAATTGCTTATTTAGACTTATAATTAACCTTACTTTTAGGCTAAAAGAGTTGCTACGTCGTCGATTAGTTGAATGTGGATGGAGAGATCAAGTAAAATTAATCTGCAAGGATTTAATAAAAGAACATGGTCATGATATTACTTATGATAAATTGCTTTCAATGGTTACAACTAAAGCAAGAACACTTGTTCCAGACTCTGTTAAAAAGGAACTCCTACAGAAAATAAAAAATCAACTGATTGCTCAAGAAGAAAAATTAAAAATGTAACAATAAGAAATTCATTACACTGTCATACTATGGCCATACTGCAATAGCTGATAAATTTACACTAAGATTACAAATATATTATATTTACATATAAACTGATAGAAGTGCCTTGGTTGTCTAACTATATAAATATAAACCTATTTTGCCTTTAATTACATTTTACCATTTACGTAATTATATATAAAAAAAAAACGGTTGTTTCAATTTAAGAAAGTATAAGAAATAACAAATGTTGCTTGGAAACTGTCAACAGAGATCAGTTCAAATAGATAGCTAGATCATTTTACAATGTTAAAAAAGTTAACCAAAAAATGCATCTCGACAAATCAGCCTCTAGCGGACAATGGCCGAACTATACACGGGAAACAAAATTTGTAACGGAGCGGCGATTAGTGAAGAGTAAAGATCGAAGGACATAAAAATTGTTTGGAAGGTGAATTACATATTGCAAATAAATTGTTCTTTCTTTGTATCGATTACAGAAACGATGATCGAGATACCATGAGCAGCTAGCAGCAATCAATAGTAACCAATAGCAACGATCTTACTAATTTTTTTCGAACTTCTTAGTCATTCTTTATCACACATCATAGATAAATCGAAGCAACTCAGGACTAAACTTAACAAATTTAAATACCACGCCAAATGGAATTACTTAAAATTTTCAACGAGGATTGATTGTAAATAGTCTACCAAATAAAAAAAAATTCTTTATCGCAATTGGAAAGAATTTGAAGACTGTGGATGTTGAAAGTTGGAAGGATTTAAATAATTAAACGCTCTGTTCATTTGCAAAATAAAATTGTTTTATTCAATTCAATTTGTATGTTTACAATAATCGTACAGTTTTACAACGAGTTCGTAATTTTCTGTATAATAATTTGTGTAGTTGAATCATTTTACGGTGATTTGATTTCGTCGCAGGATTAATGGAGTTACAACAACTCGATACAAAAATAACGATCGAAAACTTGCACGTGCATGTGGTATGGCGCAGCGTTTTGGTGCTTATTTTCGAATCGCCATTAAGTAACTGCTTTTAACCAATTCCGTATGGCCCGATACGAACCCGCATTCCCCCGCCCCTTATATATGCTCGTTTCACCCTTCAAAGCAAAGAAGGGTATAGTTCGATTATTTGATCGCTAGAGGCGGTAATTCGTGGAACGGACTTTTGGCTGTATTTCTTCCATGCTCATCGGCAATCTCCCTGCTCATTTCTGCTATCGATATATACGTTCCCGAATTACCGTTAGATGGAGGTATAGAAACTTCTCACTAGATATGGTGAAGATAGAACATTTTATTCAAAGTTCAGAAAACCGCATACGTGCATCTTTATGTCAATAGCTTTTAATTTGTAACCATAGAGTGATTATTTATTAAATTGTCTTTTAAAACATAAACAATGTTGATCAAAGTGAAGGTAAGAACATTGACCGGCGGAGATGGACCTACGACATTTATAACAAGTTCTGAAAATATATTCTAACCTTGTTTCAGACTCTTACCGGAAAGGAGGCAAGTAACTGCAAAATAATCTTATGTATTTTAAATACAATTTGGCGATTTAATATGTAACATAACGTTTATCTTTATATACACTTAGAAAAAAGAACAATTATAGCAGTAAAATCATCATTCTAATAAAATCATGTTGTCAGTTAAAAATAGAAAATTTGACACTTGATGTAATTAATAATAATGTATTATCACAAATTAGAGTTTGTTTCAAATAATGGATATATTCTTCCTCCATTGTTATTTACTATTCTTCCACATATTGTTGTTTACTATTAAGTTTCACAAATACATCGTTAATATGTATGATTAATAGATGCATATTTAAGTTTAAGAGCAATCACAGATATCATTATTCTCATAGATTGAAATAGATATAGAACCTACAGATAAAGTAGAAAGGATCAAGGAGAGAGTGGAAGAAAAGGAAGGGATACCGCCTCAACAACAGCGATTGATATTTTCTGGAAAGCAAATGTAGGTATCATAATTGAATATAGAAATAATATACACAACTGTACAAGATAATTTGCTAAAGAGAAAATTATGTTTTAATGTTTCATTCGATATTGCTTTTAGTATGAAACTGCTTAAAGCATGGTGTAACACATAGCCCTACATTACAATAAGCGCAATAGTAACGAGATTCCTTCCGCATTCCCTTAGATGCGCAAACTTTACATCTTCTTGTAGCATTCATCTTCTTCGGTGTTGATGGAACATACTCTGGAAAGTGACTTTCTACAGTCCTTACTGAATCTGAGTCGTATAGTTGTCCTGGTTTTCTGGTTCCTGTTCCATCAATTATGATATTTTAACATCATTTCTTCTTATTTTCCCTTGTCAAATATATCTTATATTTACATTAATATCAGAACTGTATTAATTAATACTCATAGCTGTGTGTATGTGTATGTGTGTGTGTGTGTACGTTTTTCATTATTTAATGACTGTGAATGTATCGTGAATATAAAAATTTTTGTTGTCTTTTAGGAATGACGAAAAAACGGCGCAAGATTATAAAGTTCAAGGTGGATCAGTACTGCATTTGGTACTCGCATTAAGAGGGGGTTTATAATTACAACATTCCTTGTTCTGGAATGTATGTGCGAGTGTGTGTGTGTGAATATTACAGATTGTATAAGATCAGCCACAAATATAATAGGATGCTTTCCAATGTTACATTCGCTGCGCTGTGTTTGCAAGGACTTGTAATCGTCTTTGTATCTCTCTTTGATTGAACGGTTACATTTAGAATTGAAATAAATATTAATAAAAGTAATTCAGTTATAGAAACCTAATATTTGCATAACCAATATCGTAATCATCTTTCAATTATATCTATTATGAAAAATATCCGCGTACAATATTTGTAGTATGAATCTAATTTCCCTAAGTTTGTAAAGTCCCCATTGAGGCGAGACCCGATCCGAATTTGAATAAATTTCGTTCGAAAATTCGAGCTCGTATCATTTCAATATTAGTTTCTATGATATTTGCTGTTATGAGTTGCCAGACTCCACTTTGTTTTGAAAAATCGTTGGCAAATGTTGCAGTACGCGGTAGAACTCTGCGACTCCTCGTGTCTCGATGTAATATGCCGTAGAAGAGCGGGCTGCGTCGTAAATGTTACACCGCATTTATTACAGAACCACCCTGGCGAATGCAAACTCCATTCCGGTATCCTTGTGTGTGCCTCTATAAATTTATATCTTCCTATAACTAACGCTGCAATAACATTATATCGCAATAAATATTTCGAGACGAATTTTAATTCTTTCAGAAGTACTTCGGCGATTGTTAAATACTAACATAAATGATTTTAACGAACTTGTTTTCTATACGCGTAACGAATGATACTTCAAATCTCACAAGTCTACTTATTATTATATAAACTAGTATATAGAGTAAAATAATGGATATCACAAGGATAACCTGAGATCCTTAACTAAGTATTAAATGTAAAAATTCTCAAAATTTGATCAAGAATTTTTAGTTGTCCGGTTGTCGGAGATATTTCCAAGAATCCCAGGAACATATATGTTTCGCGGTATACTGGTCGGTTTTCACCGCAATGCGTATTGTCTGTGAAACTGTAAAATATTCACTTTCCTACTATATTAGAAAAAAAAAGAAAAAAATAAGTAGGAGAAGAAAAGAAAAGGCAAAAGGAGAGAGTATGTTCACACACCACAAGCAGAACAGAACCGTAATTAAGAATACATTTAAAAGAAGATAATTGTTATGTTCACATTTATATCTTTAATTGCTTATAAATAAATATCATAAATCGAGTTGAATGTTATTAGAACGCATCTGAGACTTAATATTGTATCCAGTACGTAAGAGAAATGCATCGAACCTATGTCTGTTCGTAAATTTTTGCCTCGATCGTAATTTCTATTTGATATATGCATATCACTTTCCCGAAAGATATCAACACTGGAACTTCCATTGTAAATTGATTTATTTACATTGCTGTAATAACATTTTAAAGCATACTGTTATGTCACTTTTAACTCACAAGCTCACAATTAATACATATACGTAACACGTTTTTAAATCGAAATGAAAAGCTTGCTACTACCGGCGCAATTATTACTTGATCATGTTATCTATAGACAGTTTGCATTTGTTCGTCTAGGTACGTGGTGCGTTCCGCGTTCACGATATATGGTTAACCATGGGTTTATGAAATAAAGTTTCCACTCAAACATGATATCTATTATGTATATCGTTCCTTTCGCGAAAGCTACCCATGACCTGTTAAATGAAATTCGTTAATGCAAACACATCGTTCTGATAAATGCATTTAGTTCTTTTTTGCGTGTGTGCTTTAAAATACGACAGCTGCTTAAATATTATTTAATCGATGTGACGATAAGACAATTGTTGGTTGTGAAACCAATTTAGTAAACTATCATTAACACGTCAACTATCGTGCGATATACATCGTATAAATTCACGCTGTCACTCTAACATCTTACTTAATATCTAAAAGAAAAACGCATTGCAATCAAGTACATGTTTTACTTAATATTTAGTTAATGGCATAAATTCAGATCGATCGTTTACGAGATATCTCGAAAACTTCGACTTTACCTTGAAACTTGGTGCGATTCTCAACAGCGAACATCTATGTTTAGAACTACGCGTAACTCTACGATTAAGTGCTTCATCGTGCATAAACAATGTCTTTCATCGGACAAATCGATCTCTCTTTACGTATAATTTTGTATCGATAGTTGAAACGGAATGCCTGTATCTCGCGAATCAATCAATTCGAGGATAAAGTAAGAAGCACATCTTATAATTCCCATTCAGATGCACGTAATCGAAATGACGCTTTACGTTCATTATTTTTTAATTAAGATTTGCTGTGTCGCATTACAAATCTAACGTACAATAGTTTCACTATATTCAAGCTTGAACATATCGTTCTAAAATATTATCGAGTAATTACCCCTTATTTAATTTTATTTATTTCTAAGAATTTCATTAGATATGATCTACTCACGGGGATTAAGTAGAATTTCCGTAAGGCTTATAGCGTAGAATAATCAAATAACTTAAGTTAATTAGCATTATCGATAAAATTAATTTATAAAAAAGCGACACGCACGACACTTAAGCGGTAAAGTTGGAACTTTTGAATGGTAACGCGACACTTCTCGACTTCATAAATCGCGAAAGAAAATAATATACGAATAAGAACGAACGAGTTAAGAGACACAATCCGAACCGTATCAAACGATCGAAAATTACATTCTCGTCATATGGATTATCGGTGAACGAATCGTTTCGTTCAATTTTATACAGAGACAATGTTTACACGAAGCCACAGACGAAAAGAATAAAACTTTCAGTTCTCTTATATTCTCTTATACGCGTTCAACTGTGGTAAACATCTGGAAAGTTAATATGTAAAATGTAAAACTAGATAATTGTGTGTAAGGCACTGTCTATGCGATCCTTCAAAGTAGCTAAGTTCATCCTTATCGAAAAAGAAAACTCGAGCACGCGAATAACAGACGTGTAAACAGAGTCAGTGTAATATCAATATCGAGGTTGTTATTTAAAACGATTTTTACGACGAGTACCGCATGTTTCATTTGAATCGAGTACATTATGAGTGGAAAACGGTCGGCTGCTCACAAGTATAGCTTCTACTGAGTCGCAACATTTAGTTGTAATAATACGCATCTAAAAGTCTCGAAGAACGCCATTACTTGCACGCTAATGCAACGCATTTGACTCGACCATCCTGTTACTCGCATCGAAATATCGTAATTCTTCTATTGATGATATGGATATCTTGTATTTCATACGTTCTATCGCCTGTCGACTAATGTACACAACTGCAAGTTCGTCTGCACACTGTCGATAATTATCGCTTATCGAAAAAACTGTATTATCATCGATTTCGCAGTGTTCTATTACGAACACAATAGTTATCGAGGGTTTTTAACGCTAATAATGTGTTAATAATCGGGCGCGTAACAGAGATCCGTATGAAACATTGTCGACTTAAAAGTTTGTATCGTAAGCGAAGATACGATAAGAGAAAGAAACGTATTAACAATGGCTTAAAGTACTGTACAGTATTGACTAGAATTTTTATAGAGCGGAGACGCTTTAATAACGTTACACATTGCAATTAAATCTTTCGATTTCTTATCGCTTTACACTAAAAGCATAACGATGAGAAACGAAAGTAATATAAAAGCATACGCGCCATGTGACTGTTCGCATCTCTGAAAGTCGAAAACGCATGTTACCAGTATAGCAAAGGGGTAAGTATTATGTATCAGCTTGCGAAAATCAGAGAATTAAGAAATCCGTGGATATTTATTTCCCGAAGAAGGAAACGTGTACTCCTAGCTTTCTGCAGTAAAAAAAAAGTCCAGCTTTTAGATACTGTACCAGAGATTTCGACAGAATGAGATCGGGATTAGAAAATGATAGATACAAATTAATTAAGTCCCATGTTACTGTCCTCAAACTTTCTGCTTCACGCGAAAATTAACGGCAACGGTTAATATCATAAAATGTTACGCGAACGTTAAAATATTCCAAGAACTATGCAAGCAACGTAAGATTCTACAATTCTTGCCCCTGTCCGATTTTAATACTGTACATAGGGAGAACACGCTAACCAAATGGTTCACCTCAATGTGTACGAACGACAAAATACATGGCGAAACATCGGGTTATTTTAAAGGATGGTTCAGTAAAAGCGGGTTACTTCTCGGAGTAAAGAGAAAAGCGTTGACACATCGACGATGAACGACGACTAACGGACAAAGAAAAGGAAAAATGGCGGCTGAAGCTAAAGACAAAAGAAAAGAAACAGAAAAGGGAGAAATTTCCGAGGGAAAAGATCGGAAGATGTTTCTACTTGACGCGAACAGACAAGAAGAAAAACATAGGGGGACCAGGGCGGAGCGAGAAGCAACATTTCTCGACGCGTTCGAAAAAATTTACGAGTCCAATTCGTTTTTCGAGCTGCGCTGCTTCTGGATCGTTTTTTGCCATTGCATGTTATGTTTCAGACGCATGTGACGTCGCAGGTCGGTTCTACGACTGAGAGTGGTGTGACATAGGATGCAGGTAGTCTGGTTGCGATGCACTTCAAGGTGCTGGGTCAGCGAAGCAAGGTGCTTGTAAACGCTTCCGCAGAGTCTGCACGAAAAACGCCCTGGACCCTGCATCACCACTTGACCAGTTGTATCGCCAACATGCTTCCGATTGCGTCCCACCCCCCCTGCAACACATTAACAGCCACGTGACCCGCCGATTCCTCATTGCTTTCTAGGCAATTACATTTCATAAACAAATTGAGGGGACAGTAACACGTAACACAGACTAGATCATTGTTCTACCTGTGCTGGATGTACCGCCTTTCCAATCGGAAATGATAAATCACCATATATCGAATCCTCCGTTGATTCGCGTTTGTTCTCAGAGCCGACTCGTACGTATCGGTCGTGGCCGCGTCATCGTCGCGTCGATACGACAACACGATACGCACAGTAAATACGAAAACCGATCGCTTTATCCGGTTTATGCGGCTCTGCGAGTTGCAATATCAACCAAGGATCCCTTTCGAATCATTACTTCGTTCCAGAAATATTTTTCATTTCATTCTATCTAATAATAACTTACATCGATGCGACACGATGTGATTCCGCGATCTTTATGTATCAACGTATTGCCACTAATATTATATGCAGTATATTAATAAAGTCCTATTGGTGTGTCAAAATTGAGAAACGAAAAAAAGAAACGTAGGTAACTGTGAGAAGCGTGAAAACGTTAAAGCACAATTTGACATGGTACAGTGACAACCGCCAAAAGTAATAATTCAATTATACCGTGTTCAGAACAGAATCATTAATCGATGTTAATTAGATAGTTTTCCGTATTTATTTACGAATATCAGTACTTGATACCTACACAGACTACGTTATAAATAGACATCGCTGAACATACGCAAAGTATTCTGTCACCTTCAGCTCTCGTTAGTTAACACAATAGGTGATCTTGATAATGCTGACTCGTCGAGCGTTTTATGTTTTGTAAACATTAGTTCTATCGCAAAATTTTATTGTACAATATCGTACGTGTTCAAGTTCGAGTAATAAAAAAATGCGAAGCTTGTATCTATCGTTTGTGCAACACGCATTGTATAAAGTGTAACAACTCGTTATATACTTACTCATCTAGATCGATTCGTATTAAAGTAACAAGTTTAGTAAGAACGTAACAACATCGAAATTTGAAACCTTCGATTATGTTTGAAAAAAGAACTCTGCAGCATTCACATTTTGAAACTTTATTCACACATATTTCTTTTTTTCTTTTTCTTTTTTTTTCTTTTTTACTTACATTGTTAACTTGCATAAGCCAAACATAAGATCGTGTAATGATATATTATAATATTTGTATATATATTTTTTAATATATTTATATTTATATATTTGTATTTGTATATTTATATATATTTTTTTATATATATATATATAGATACTTCTTATTTTTATAAATAACTAAAGAAGGAAATATCAATTTTTCTAAAGTAATAATTGGCAATCTTGTACTTATTTGTATTGTGGTTTCCGAGGAATGTGCACATTCGTTTCCTTTAAATTGAACGTAGACGTCTATCCATACACAAGTATAAGTAAACGCATGTACATTTCAATATATTTCCTGCTTCTTTTCTTTAATTTGTAAAGTAAATTAGTATAAATAAAACACGGAGAGGGGGGGGGGGGATAAAAGTAACATAGAAAGGAATATATCTCATCAAACGTTGACTCGTTCCTCTAATAAAATATCGTCAATTTTGAAAAAAGACGATTCGAAATTACACAATAAAACGTATACGTGCAAATTGTGCGAAGTAAAATATAATAAGCACGAGATACATATATATTATATACTCTCTCTCTCTCTCTATATATATATATATGTATATATAGAACTATAGAACGCATGCGATCGCAAATTATAACTTAAGCATCATTAATTTGCACAAAGAAAATTTGCTTCTTCGCATAATAAAAGAACGTTACTAAACTGTTGACCCACCCGTTGACTACCACTGTGATGTTTGCATTTCTGTTGATAGAGATAGTGTTTCTTTGTAAATATCTTCGTATAGAAACTAAATAGAACAGAATCGTACAAGCATCGAAAATCAGCGGCGTAGTCAACGTTGTGATTAATTTACGACAATTGCGCTAAATTGTTCCCTTTTTAACATTTGTCAACTAGCTTCGATTTGTACTTAGTCACGTCACAATCAAGTTCCGCAAAATATAGATTTAACGCTATGCTCGATTTACAACGTGTTGAAGAACTTTGGCATACAGCGAACAAGAGATCATATCGCATGTTGTCTGTATATATAATCGAATAATAGCCTCTTTATAATCGTACAGAAGTAAACGACTCGAATCGAATTAACTCGCGTGATAGAAGCCAAGCTTCTTTCGATATTACGATTCCTCGGATTAAAATAAAACTCTAACATAGAAAAACGAAACCGAATTAAAACTAAAAAGAAAAAGAAACAAGCAAACAATAAGCATAATATAATAAAATTAACAAAAAATAACATAAAGTAAAGATATTAAACTCTTATATTCATATCGTCATAAACGTATAAACGAAAACAAAGTTCTATCTATATTTCGTAGATAGGCGAATATGTGCACGTATATGAATTCGGCAAGCCTCTGTGCTTATAATTAAAATAGTACGGCGTAATGAGTATGTTTAATATCATAAACGTATATATTATGGCGAAATTTTGGTCCGGGAGTAACATACGGATTCTCCCAGACAAATAAATGAGCAACATAATGCCAATTACTGTCAATGAAGAACAGCTTGGTCGCTAAATACAAATAAAGCTTTTGTTCGCTCCACTTGAAAAAGAAAGAGCAACGAAAATGGCACGTTTCTCTAGTACACAATTGTACTTCCAATCAACGATCGAATACATTTTACACGCTGCAACATCGTGAGTACGAATCGTTCCTTGCCTCGAAGAAGGTTTACGATCATACGCGAACAAGAAAACCATCAAGATCGATCGAGATGATTGAAAATAAAGATAGAAGCTTCTAACGGCCGATCCTGAAACTTTCGTCGAGGCGGAAAAACTTAATTGAAAAGACATCGAAGCTTCGAAAACGATCGAACGTTTCCGTTCAGTCTCATAGTCGATCTATCGTTCAGGACTCTGCGAAATTTGCATATTCACGGCCGATCGTACAAAGAAAGATGCACATTCCTCCTTACACGCTATTAAGTACCGAACTCATTTGACTAGATAAAATAATTTGCCTTTTTCTTTCTGTTCTACTGCATGTCTTTGGTTATAAAAAACGTTAATACAGGGTTTCCTCATCATTACGCACGCGATATCTTCTCTTTCTTCTTCTTCTTCTTCATCTTCATCGTTTTCTTTTCCTCCGTCTTCGCCTTCTACTCCTCCCCTCTCCACCTCCTCCTCCTCCTCCGTTTTCATATGCATATATGGATGTACATAAATGGACGTACACACACGCATGTGTACAAATGACTAGGGTATAACGTAAAGTGTAAGACAGGTGTCTTTAACGTAGGCTTCCCGTCGACGACTAGAGTGACATTTCATGATATATACATTTCTAGCGAATTTCCGTGTTAAATTTGAAAAATAGGGCGCTCGTGATGTCCCGTTTCTCGATGAATCAAACAACACCGGAATGCTAATCTGCTATAGGTAAAAACGTAATAGCTTTTTGGTATGCTTAGCTCGTGGCTACGATACGTTGATTACTCGTTTAGCAGGAATAATTTTCACGCAAAAATATTCCGATCTTTCGATCGCAAATCATTTTGAACGATTCGATCGACAAATCGGATCGTATAAGCAAATATAAATAAATATACCTACGTGTTAGAATCTAAAGAGAAAATATTTATAATCGAAAGCATATGTTCGTAGGGGAATTGACGCGTGCTATATCGACTCGAATAGTTTATACGTATACGAGTCAAGAAAAAACATGGCAATGACAATAGGTGAGATATAGGTTCAAAGGAGAAGGGGACAGAAAGAGTGGAAGAATCGCGCGCGCGTTTATCCTCTTTTCCGTCGACGGGTGAGTGGATTCGGCAGGATATGTTCACACTAAGGAATAGGACTAGATGTGATTCTTTCGACGCTGCTTTCTCTAATGCGTATAGTAGTATAAGTAGCATTAGATTCGAGGCCAGCGGTAGGGCTTCCGACGTTTTGATGGGCAATCGCGGTGGAGGAGACGGAAATGGGCGTTGGCAGGGTGGTCGTAACATCGGTCGCCGTTGAAGCGCCGCTAACAGTGGAGA